GACATCGTGGGACTGATTGTTTGTATGCTCCGACAAACACTGGTACGGTTGCTGATCACAGCGCGAAAGCATGACAATACCACCAACATGGGTTAGATTCCAAGTTTGGCGCTACAAAATAAGGCATTTGTGTGCAACTACAAATACGTATGCAAATAAGCGCGCTATTCCCACCCATCTCTTTGAGCTGGTCACATGTTCCGAACAGCGAGACAAGTCACGATCTGTTCCAGTAGACCACAAGCACCTGGCTCTTCGGTTTTCCCATTTCCAAACCTAAAGGCCCCATGGGTCGGGTGGTAGTAGCGTCCTTGTTTGTAGCGATGCCAGGAGCCCCTAGTAGCTTCTTGTTACTACTAATTCTGGAAACTTGACCCCACTTGCCACTTTAACCAGAGAACTGCAAGCTACAAGACGATACAACATCTACACACAGTAGCCTTCTGATCACACATTTATCATATCATGGAGAGCTGGAGCAATCCGAAAGTATTGGCAATGAACTTGAAAAACGACCTGTCAATGAACCACGTCGGGGCACCTCGCTCGGTGATGCTGTTATGACTCAAATGCACTTCGTGCACCGCCTCCGTCAGGCAGTTAGAGATCAACGATACACCAATCAACAGCTGCGTTGGAGAGCAACGAAACAAAAACAAAGCAATGAACTCAAGGCATGACAAGTGAAGCAGTTGTTTCACAGCTAGTGAGATCATTCTCCTCTTGTCATCAACGTCCCCCATCCAGGTGTCCCCATCCTGAGAGCTATGGGCCATGAACTGCCCAACAGCCCATGCGCCGCCGTCAGTGATGTTGTTCCTCTGGAGAGCGCGGGTCCGAATCTCAACCCCAATGAAGGGTGCTTTGAACAGACCTTAGACCAAACTTGAATGTGTCATTCATGCTCTCAATGGCGCACAAGGCAATAATATCACTGCACCCTTACATTTCTTGGACGTCGCAAGGGCAAAGACACGCATTCCATTGCAGCATTGTGACAAGTTATAAGTTATAATGTTCTGTGCTTGACGCCACAAAACACACAATGGGAAGCATTAATCAGCGCGCCCTTTGGTGCCAAACTACTATATCATTCCCAACACCCACTTGTACAAGCCGTAGATCACTGGACACCAGAATGTCCCAACTATTGCACTAGACATTGACAGGCAAGATGCTGCTCCCTTGTGTGATGACTTGGAAATGCTTTGGTGCCTAATCCTAATTGGCCGGCCTCCTTCAAGTTTCTGTGGCTGAAGTATTGTATGCTAAAGTATTGTATCATTGTCTTTACTACAGTCGAAATCCGCAATTCAGGACACATCGCTGCCATGCCTGTTTTTGAACCTCTTCTGAATGTCTGGACCTTCAAACACTGATGATCACTGATCTAACTCGCCCGCTCTCGCCTGAATAGCTTCATGATCTGGACAGTGATGTCTCTACTGTAGAGAAACGTCAAGAGCTTTGTGAGCGCCTCCGCAGAGTCCGGGGATGTCTTGACCCTTGTGCGATCTTGCACGCAAATGCGCAACTGCCTTACGCTGGCGCATGTGCCCGGCAAAAGTGGATCACAAAAACCACAAAACTGGCGGAGCTGCTGGATTGCATTCTTGAAAGATTTGGTCCTCATTTCTCCAGGACCAGGGTTGGGTTGGGTTGGCTCTAGCTCGCATCAATCTGGCGGCCAACTCCAATCTCTTGGTGGGTCTGACTTGGTGTTTTGTTTTCCTGCGTCGACCGTTCAGAACGACATCAAAGGGCTTCATCCACACTCTTTTATGTACTTGCATCTTATCGTCAAAAGGCACTCAACAAAAACTCGTTTTGAACACCAGCTATAGCTGGAAAAAAGCGTAGTCTCCGCCTTACCTGTCTCAGCGATGCAAGATCGCTAAAGTAGTAGGAACGTTTACATAAACAAACCCATTCACCCACTTCGCCCCATAGCAGTAACGGATTCTGGCTGCTACTACCTGTGATTGCCGTGTTCAGCATGTTCATGCATGTTCCCAATCACCCGACTGTGCCTCATCATCTAAGTTACAACGTGAGAAGTTCAGGCTGGCTGCAGCCAAGCGCGGTGGCTGTGGCCCGAAACGCTCAAAGAGCTGCGAGTCTAAGGTGTTGCACCAGTCCTCAGCAGCTTAGCATAGGTCAAGCTTACACAACAGAAGAGAAAGGACACCATGGGCAACTGATGGGGTTGGATTTCATGATCTCTCATTTGACTTTGTCCAGTGCGATTGCACGCCTTTTGCCGCAGGGATTCTTTTTGCGGTTTGGACATCGTGATCAATATCCAAACCAACAAACAAACACGCCAACCCTTGGCCCTTGGCTAAACAGCCTAGTTGTAAGCGCGAAGATAGTGAACAGTGCGAACCTGTAGATTGTACCAACATAATACCCCTAACATAACGAACACATAGTCAAGCGGGACTTGCCCCTTCTTGTCTTTGTCAAGAAAGCAGTCGGTTGCGGCCTGTTTTTGTGCAAAGGAGAGAGGGGCCGGACAGATTTTGGGGTCCCTTCCCCCTTTGGACACATAGTCTGAGATTGACATGCTTCAATAAACACCCAGTGTAATTACGACCGCTTGGGATTGGTGACTAGCATGCGAGGGCATACATGCTAAGCTAAGGCTAAACTCCATTCAGCAACTGCTTCAATTATAGAACAACCATGACAAAAAGTGTCGTCTTGACACAAATCACAAAAAGGGGACCCAAACATACAGGGTCCGAATTGGCTGATACAATATGATACAATACAGGATGCTTTTAGCGTGATTCCTCCAAGCGACGTCCACACAGTTCAAGGAGATGTTGTCACCTGCACCACACCAAAGAAGGAAAACAACAAAGGAACTAGAAGCAAGCCTTATATATAACAAACATATGGTGATTGATCTAGTTTGTTTCTTACGGAAACACAATTATTCGCAAACAATCTTTACTTTCGCAAACTCAATTGCTTAACTGAACTTTTGCTGGGGAGCTGTTCTCCTTGGTGTGGTTCTTTCCACATACCCCAATCGTTCGGAGGTCCTCCGCAAAAAGTCTTTACCTTTACAAACTCGAAAAAACAAGACGCTCGCCAACAAAATAGAAGGCTCTCAACGAAACTAGGCCTTATTTCGACCTTTTGATCAACTACCATGGGCAAAGTATGGGCAAATGGTTGACCTCTGAAATTTAAAAGTCAGAAGGCCTATGAATGAATAAGGGATGATAACATTATACTATAACTATATATACAGAACTGATCCAGTCTACCCAGTGCCCATATCAGCAGCAGTGGAAAAGAAGCATTGGTCTGCTTGTATAGTTGTCCATTGCCCTTGACAATGCACTTTGTTACTACTGTAGTACTTGACCACCCGAATGCAGCCACCCTGCCCACAAAGTTGGGAGCTGAGCAGAAAGATCCTTAAAGAACACTTGATTCGTGGTTCTTGATCAAGCAATTTCCGACCAGCTCAAGCACTCTTCAATTTTTCTGCCCTCGACTGCCCTGATGTGCAAAACGACCATGGGAAGTTCAGCCTTCTTGCTCCGCTTTGAAGATGTGCTTCTCCGACCATTTGATGCTCCATCGGCTCTTTGGCCGGGCCATCGCAGTGCACGGTGGCTACCACCTAGCTTTCTGTGGAGATTTTAGCCTGGTTGTTTCAGTCCGAGGTCAACTTCAAGACCTGAAACTGAAACTGTGAATCAAGAAAGGTGCCAAAGATGCTTTGGATTGAAGTGTTGGTGTTATGGGATTTTGGAAGGTGTTCAGGTGCTTCTCAGAACCCTTTACTGTGAGACAAGAGGAGGAGCTGTCACGCTACTATCTCCAGCCCAGCCGTGGAAGCAAACATGCCTTTGTCTCCTACTACCTGCCGACTACCTGTGACACCTGTGCTGTGAGCCTGGGAGCTGAATCATGTGGCGTTGGGAAAGCGGCGTTTCGTTTCGGCCTCGATAAAAGGCGAGCTGAGTGTGGAAGAACTGTGGTCTCGCACAAACATGTTTGTGTCGAAAGTGGCCACCCAAAGAAGCAATTGACAAATTCCACCAGTTCAGTAAAGCAGTGGAGAGTGTCAGTGTCGAGCATTCTCTTGAGGATTCTCCAGAAACATTCCCTCCCAACCAAGAGGACAGAAAGGTCTAAAGTGTAAAGAAAGGACAATGAGAAAAGGCTAATCTATCTGAAACTCAATCCACATTTCCTCTTCCATCGCTGTCTTTGAGCGTTGTGAGCGGTGCTTCAGCTTGAATGATCTTGGTGGACTTCTTCACCTCCGCAGCCTGGATTCGCTTCAGCCGTTCATGGAAGGATGATATTTCCGACATGAATTCCGAGAAAAGGTACCACAGCGCGTCCGGGACCAGGACCTCTGATCAGTGTGCGCTAGCATAATTCTCCTGCAAATTGTAATGCTTTTCAGTTTGTAGGGCCAGATTGCAAAAATATTCCTGGAAGTGCAATAGGGCCAGCTGTATGTGCAGCTTGCTGTGTGCTGTCAGTGAGGCGGCTCAACAAGTCTATGGCTTCTGAATGCTTCCCGTCACCGATCCATCAGTCTCAATGTTGAACCTCCGTACCGAACCGGGTAAATGAGTGCTGATAGAACTCCTTTTGCTGAATACGTTGGGCCCCTCAGGACAGTAGTTGGGTCTCTATAGCCTCCAATTTTTGCGCAGTAGCCTCAAGAGCGTCCTGACCAAATCCTTTTCTTTGCCCTTATGTGCCCATCAAATTCTCACCATTGATTTCCCACATATTCCCAAATCAGTTTCAGTTTCTGCTTCTCTTTCCACACCATCAGCATCCATCAGCCATAATGTAATCTTCACCATGCACTCTGTTGGTCCTTCCTCTTCTTGATTTGTAAATCATATTGAATCAAAACCACTTGCCAAACGAAATCACAAACGCCAAAAGGCTTCGCCGGCTCTGCCTCTTCTTCGTTCGCCTTCCAAATGCCTCGATTCCTCGAAGGTCCTTGATGCCTAGAGCTCCTCGTTGGCCTCGATCCGCACTTTCGCCTCGATGGGTGCGGTCTGCAAAAATCAGACCATGGGGATTCGTGGGGATAACAATCGGACCTCAGGCCCAATGGGATTATGTGCTCAAATGTCATGCGTGAGTATCTAAAGGTCTGCGCATGGTGGCTTCAGTTGCTGATATTGGTATCTGTGCACTGTGAATCAACGCATAATCGGCGACCATCTCTGGGATTGTGGGTATGAACTAAAAATCCTGAGGGGCACCGCGTATTTTGCGAAAGATTGCGAAGGTGAAGGACATTGCTCTAAGATTTTCAGACCAGTGAGGCGCCCTCAACCAATAGGTACTGATTTCTTTATATAATTATTCTCTCCAACCTTCACTTCCTCATGACAAGCTGAAACATGAAAACACCATTATGTCAGTATATGAAGCTGCCACTTCGTTGCCCGTTCTCGTTGGGTGGCTGACCCTCCGTCCAAGGCCGTGGCGCTCAAGGTCTGCAGGTCAGCGTCCCTAAAGCTATCATGGAAAGCCTCCAAAAGCACAACGGCTCTATGCAGTGCTTGGGATGGAACCAACAAAACGCGCCAAATACATTGCTCTCAGCAATGTCTGAAAATATCGCCACACGGCCATGTCACACTGTGTGTGTGGTTTTTAATGAGGCTTGTGAGGCTCATGCCTTCGTAGTATGGTGTCATAGCAACATTTGACCTTCAATCATTGACCATGCCTCTGATACTAGGACGTGGGTGACAGGTAACTTCGGATGAATTTGGAGCGTTGGTAAAAACATATCAAAAACGAGTCAACCCCTGTGTGGCCTTCAGAAAGGACATCACATGAAAAAGAACAACCCCGCCAAAGACTTGACACCTTGCATGCGTGTCAACAGCAGCTGCAAGGCACTGCAGGTTCTGGTTGCTTTGTCGTGAGTTGACACCCACGTGCTTTCAACGTGACAAAGAGATGTCCCCTGAATGTGGGCATGAGCATGACCCATGTTTTGCGCCTTGGCTTCGAAAAAGCGTGGCTTTCGAGCTTGTTGGGTGCCTAGCAGGAATGCAGCACCTCCGAAGCAACTTTTTTCTTTGCCACCGGCCTCTCTGTTCAGTCATACTAGTGAGGAACAGCAACTGCCCCTACTGCCATCCAGACCGACCGCATTCAAGGGCATTCAAGGTTCTGGTGCTTTGGCTTTCACTAGTAGATGACATATATATGTGTATATAATCGTTTTATAGACATTATATAGACGCTATTAAGCTAAACACCGCGGCTTTAAAAATGCTTGAATAAAAGGCCACTTGCATCTTGCCATGGCCGTTTGCAAAATGGTCCCAGAAAAAGAATACTGCCTGGTATACCGTGGTGCAGGGCGATAGACCATAGATCCCAAATATTCTTCTCTGAGAGAAGAACAGTAAACACCTTTGACCCTACCCTGTCAGCTGGCTCACAAAAGCGACAGGAAACACATAGTAACAAGTGCCACGCTAGTAGTAACAAGTGCCTTACTAGTAGTAACAAGTGCCTTACTAGTAGTAACAAGTGCCTTACTAGTAGTAACAAGAAGCTATTAGCTTATTGTTTCTAATAGCTTCTTGTTACTACTAGTACTTCCATTAAGAATCAGCAAGGGAATTACTGTAAATGTCTTGATGGCGGGACGCTTGCTCGACAGCCACTTAGACACAGCCAGCCCCATGATGATAATTTGTGCTCACAAACCCTTGCACCTCCGTAGCCGGCTTTGTCAAGCCTGGTCAAACATTTTCTCAAGTCGATTATAATGATTATACTCAGCCTATCGATTTCGGTGCTTATTTCAGGACTTCCTCTAATGCAAGAACTCATTCTTGAAACATTGGTGTATCTATAGATGCACATTTTTTGTGAATTGCGCCCTTGTAAGAGTCTATAGTCTAGAGTCTATAGGCTTCCGCTAGAAACACATTCCATTGTCTCTGAACATGAACTACACAAACCAGTCTGGATATTCTTCGCAATGTTCGTTTTGTGCAACACTCAGCTGGAGGAGCAACACAAGTTGTTGACTGTATTACTATTGCTTCTTTTCTTTGACCGAGCAACGCATAGTTTCGCAATCGAAGGGCAGCAAAGATCACGCCTCATGTATCCGTGGAACTCGAGAATCGCTGCGAAGTCCGTTGACTCCCAGTTTGACATTGGGCTTACCGCATGACAGGAAAGAAGCACCAAGTCATTCCGTTGATTGGATACATGCTGACGCGGAGACTGGCAGCCAAAAAACTATTTTAGACATCTCCCTGCAGTATTTAGCTTCCGTACAGTACGGTTTAATGTTGACTTCTGATTTATAAATGGCCTGTGAATAATACTGAGGTATGTCAAAACACATGATATATAAATGCCTCCCAAATAATACTAATCTTTTTCTGGACCCTGATTTTCAGCTTTCATGGTCCTTTCATGTCCTTTTCTTTCCTTTCATTTCCTTTCATTGTCCTTCTATTTCAAACTCAAATCAATATTTTCTGGGACTTTTCTGGATTTTACAAGTTTTAGGGCCCGCACGTGAGCAAGGGTGGGTTATTATTCAGAGGTGGACATTACTTCTGACAGAGAGCGCTAAAAATCAGCGGGCTCACCTGTCCCTCTGGGAAGGTTGCTCTTCAAGAAAGTCCTCCAAAAGCTTTGCCTTTCAGCAGCTTGGTCCAGCTTGGTGCGCGGGGTGGTCAATCGAGCTTCAAGGGAGCCCTTCGAGAGCCGAACTCAGTTGTTGATGGAAACAGTGACAGGTGTGGAGTACTTGTAGCGATAGCTTTGTAAAGCTTAACAAACCCATCAAGCATATCCTCACTTTCATGCTCGTATTACAATGCACCAGGACAGTTGCAAAAGTGTTGTTCTTGGGTAGGCTCATATCGGATCCTTCAGAGAGGGGGGTCACGACAAAGATTAGCTGAGCCTCGAGCTGTCGTGCAGCTTTTCAAGCTCCTGGGATGTGGCTATTGGCTATTGCTCAAACAGTGATCACTTAGAACTCACCGCACTTCATTGTAACCTCCTTTAAATTGTTCAACTGTGGGCCACAGCTTTTGGTGCTTCTTCCTATACGGACTGGGTTGCCAGGTGTTTGCCATCCTAAGGCCCTACCTGGTGGGGCCATGATTGATGGACTCATAGACCACTTGGCCTAGATTGCAAAAGCCCAGTCGAGCTCACACCCAGCCCCACCTCCCGAGCATATGCAGCAAAAGAAGCAACAATAACAGCTTTTTCCATCTCAGTTGGATAGCTCGTCGGGTGAAGGATCAAAAAAAAATTGATAGGGATCAAAAAAATTGTTTGAGGAGATCATTTTAAAAATAATTTTGGTCAAAAAATATCACAGTAGTAGTGGTAGTAGTAGTAGTAGTAGTAGTAGTAGTAGTAGTAGTAGGGGTAGTAGTAGTAGTAGTCCTAGTCGTAGTCGTAGTCGTAGTAGCAGTAGTCGTAGTAGTAGTAGTAGCAGTAGCAGTAGCAGTAGTAGTAGTCGTAGTAGTAGGAGTGGTAGTGGTAGTGGTGGTGGTGGTGGTAGAGGTAGAAGTAGAAGTATGGGTAGAAGTTGAAGTAGAAGTAGTAGTTGTAGTAGTAGTAGTAGTAGAAGTAGAAGTAGAAGAAGAAGAAGAAGTAGTAGTAGTAGTAGTAACAATAGTAGCGGTAGCAGTAGCAGCAGTAGCAGTAGCAGAAGATGTATTAGTAGTAGGAGTTGTAGTAGTGGGAGTAGCAGTAGCAGTAGCGGTGGTAGTATTAGTAGTGGTGGTGGTGGTGGTGGTGGTAGTGGTAGTGGTAGTACCAAAGAGAAGAACACTATAATTAGAAGAACAAAGAGACCAACCCAGCAGCAGAAAAACAAATGAAGCAGTAAGAAGCAAGGAAAGGCAACACACGCACAGGAAAGCAGGAAAAGTAACAAAGCAAAGAAGCGGTGAGACGCAGGGAAAGGCGAGACATGCACAGAAGGGGAAACAAGAGCCAGAAAAGTAAGCAAAAACAAAAAGCAAAAAGCAAAACAGTTGCCAAAGCAGAAGAATAGAAGAAGCAAAGAAGAACAAACAAAATGGAAAGCACAAAAACATAGTTTTAAAAAACACAGCACAGTGAGAAAAAACAGCAGAAGCATATGCAAAAGCAAAAACGCAGCAGAAACAGAAAAGCTGCAAAAGCAGAGTCCGAAAAAACATACCAAAAAACAAATGAACACATTCCGTAAATAAATGTACCTTCCAAACATAATTCAATATCAATCTGGAGCGGTCACCAGGATATGGAACGACCAAAGAGACGAAGGGACCAAGGGACCAAGAGACTAGGACCAGCAAACCAGTAAAGCTCAAGGGACTAGGACATTCAGGAAGCAACAGAGGGAGCAAGAGGTCAAAAGGGACCAAGGGATCAGGGGTTTAAGTAAGGCTTCTTTAGGCTTTGCTCACGGCTTCGCTTTTGGGTTTTCTTCTTTAGGGTTCTATTTTGGGCCTGGTTGAGGGCTTCGTTTCTTTAGGGTTTCTTTGTGCTTGTCTTGAGGCTTCACTTCTTTAGGGTTTCTTTGGGCTTGGCTTAGAGCTTCGTTTCTTTGGGGGTTCTTTGGACTTTAAGCTTCGCTTGGGCCTTCGCTTCTTTAACGTTTCTTTGGGCTTGACTTGGAGCTTTCTTGGAGGATTAAAGAAGCGGGAGGGGGTTCGGGGGGAGGGCGCAGCGCCTCCCCCGTAACGCAAACAAGTATGGACAGCATGTTTCAAAAGCAGCGGCGGCAGCAGAGGGATAAAGGGATGTAGCAGGAGAACCAAAGGACCAGAGGACCCAGGGACCAGCGGACCAAAGGACCAGAGGACCCAGGGACCAGCGGACCAGAGGACCACAGGACTAGAGGACCAGAGGACCAAAGGACCAGAGGACCAAGGGACCAGGGGACCAAGGGTCCAGAGAGAGGATGAAAGGACTAGAGGACCGGTTACCAAACATTCTTTTTGATGCTTATTATTTTTTCTTGATGCCTATCAATTTTTTTCTTGATGCTTATTCATTTTTGTTGATACCTCTCCCGTTGATCGAAGGAAAAACATAGAGATCATACAAGTCCAGCTTTCATTCCTAATGTGTTTAGCTGACTGAATGATCTTTTCTCATCTTGTCTCAATCTCTTATTGGATGCGTAGTAATGCCTCCACGTGCGAACGTACGGGCCATATTAATCTCAGTCATCGTTGAACACTTCCTGAACATTGGAGGTGAAACAACATCAAATCCTGGACTTCTCAATGGCCCTCTCCACAGGAACTGCATGCCTGACCGCCATAGGTGGTGTCCTTATGTGTGTTTTCATCCTTCGAAAGGCTCTCCAACCTCTCACCTCAGATGGGCCAGTGAACGCAATTCAATTGTCTTGAATCCTTCATTCCTTGGAGGCACAAACTAAAACAGTTGCTTCAGTTGGCAGTGCCCGTAGTTCTTAGATGTTTTTAGCTACGCCCTCTTCGCTGCCAAGCTGCAAAACCGCATGAAGAGGCTGAAGATGCGCATGTCTACGTGAGGCCTGTCCATTTCTCTGAGACTTCTGTAAGAGGCATTCCTTAAGTCTTGGCTTGGTATTCAGTCTTTTGCCGACCCAATGCCCAGAATGATGGCACGACCGCTTTCAATGACCACCAGAAATTGGAAGCAACTGCGTCCACTGGCGTCCCCCTAACCATGATCCTGGGCCAAGATGGGTGCTTCAAACTCCTAAGGTTAAACAAAAATACATTCAAAAAGAGGTATGTTAACATCCTCCAATCGAGTTTGCGAGCACTCTGTCCGCCCCTCTTCCAAAGCCCTTCCGCACAGTGAGTGGTGAGGTTAAAGGATCAACATCTTTTTCTAGATCGAACAATGAAACCAATAGAATCAACAACAATTAAGCAGGATGAAAACAACGATTCAATGACTGTACTATCAAACAAAGAAGAAATAAGGTTTTGGTTGGCTGAATATGGTTTGTTCTTTTGATCCTTTGCAATTCAATGTGTTTTGATCCTCCTTGTTTCTGAAGAATTCAACATGATCTTGAATGACTTTACCTTCGCTAAGGTGCGGGGGGTGAGACAAGAGGTGCTTGGCAACCAAACAGTAATTCAACCAAGAACTTCACTTTCTTTTGGATGTGTCTGCTGAACTTCCGTGGTAGGCAGTGCCTACCTTTGAAGAAATGAGATGAGACTGGTGTCTGTAGAATTTCAATAGCAAAGAAGAACATCGAAGCCAAGAAGCGAAGGACAAATAGACCGGATTTCGAAGAATCAACTTAGCTTTCGGAAAGGTGCAGTGAGGGAGGTGGGGGCTGTTTTGGTCGTAAAATAGAAGCTGGAGGAGGGCACAGCGCCTCCCGTAAATGACAAATAGTCGTGTAGCAGAACAAGCAAATAAGCAGAGTAAAGAAATGGAAGAATTCCAAGGGACTTAGATGACCTTACCTTCGCAAAGGTGCGGGGGTGTCCCCCTACTTGCATAAGCAAATGTGGCGCACACCGAACAGTGAACAGATCCCTGTAAAACACAAGGGCATTTCTTGCTTCTTCGCTCTGACATAGTTTGCTATTGAGTTGTCTCAGTCGGGTTCGTTTGGACTGTGTCTGGGATGTGTGTTTGGAATTTGTTGCCGGTATGTTTAGGGTTCGTTGGCAAAGTGCCTAGGTTTGTTGCAGTGGACATGCGTATGATTGAAGAATACTCAGGATAAGTTTTTAAAGAGATAAGCTACTAGTAAGTAGGTGGGCCTTATCATCCACTTTTGTGGCGCTTTCACAGCACCCAAGCAAAGGCTAGCAGAAACAAGTACAATAGTTGCGTGGGAAACCGGACATCAGATGCAATGCGTTTAGCATCTCACATATAATGATGGCTGTTGTCAAGATCGCAAAAGCACGAGCTACAAGAAAAGCACATTTCAAGCTTGGCATCTGCGGGCGTCAGGAATGATCCTTCCTTCCTACCTTCCTTCCTTCCTGCCTTCCTTCCTTTCTTCTTTCTTTCTTTCTGTCTGTCTGTCTGTCTGTCTGTCTTTCTTTTACTGGAGTTGCTTTGATGCGGGGAAGTTGTTGTTTGATCCGGATACTTTTTCTTGATCTGGAAAAAGAAGACCCCTCTCCCCTTAGTACCACACCAGAAACTGGACAAAACATGCGGCCACCCAGTAACGCACAGGTTTAAGACACGGTAGATACTCAAAGGTCAATTACACTTATATAATATATATAGGCGTCAGATTCTCATGGAACAATTAGAGTTTACAATATATTACGAATAATTTTCTCGAGACGACTGTGTAGCATCCCCCCAGCGTCCAACAGCGGATGGGCGGATGATGTTCATTCCAACCGTTTGGAATTCTTAACATAGAACCAGGAGATCTTACAACGCACTCACACGACAAATGTATCTGTACCTTTTACCACGACCTACACCTGCTTTGATTTGGGCAGTGGGTCGGGGGCCAAACTGTGTCATTTTGTGACACCTCAGAGTCCTGGCCAACAGGCCTTGAGGATGCAAAGTCCCAACCTGTGCGATGAGATCGAAGTGTCACATCTCTCATGTAGCCTGTTGATGTCTGTGACATTTCACAACATGTTACAACCACGAAATCACCGGACACACAACGCGGCAAGACTGAGACTGGGTGCCGAACGACCTTTCCGGGAGCTCATGCCGGCCTTGGCCATGCACAGGCAGCCTTCCCTGGCCAAGAGCATGACTGGCCATCAACAGAAGTCTGCCCAAGTGAAAAAGATGAAAAAAGGCACTATGTTGATCTCCTGTACACCACCATGACATCCCAAATTAGTGGAACAACTTCCGCAAGTCGGCTACTATGGATATTCACCATCATCGAGGACAAAATCTTGGGGAGTTGTTCAGTCAATGTGGGGTAGCAAGGCCTCCTGTTTAAAGAGCCAAGGCCAAGGCTACATTCTACTGTCCTGGTGCCTCAAACTCACAATTCCCTGACCAGTTGTACGTCAGGCATGGATGTTGAGCAGAATGGCAATGGGAGTCTGGGAGAAAGTAAAGACTCTCTCTCCCTCTCTCTCCAAGGTCCATGGGTCATGTGGGTCCAAGGTGAACAGCTCAGTCCAATGGCAATTGGAGGTCAGGCTCTGTCAGGTCCTGTCCGCACCTCAGGGCTCTGGTGATCAGCACCGAGCGCAACAGGTGCCTGATCCAAAACCGATACAGGCCAAGCGGTCGCCAAGCTGTCAGAAAAGTAGCGTCCTTGCTGCAAGTAGCGATGCCCTAGAGTAATGATAGAGACTGAGAGAGCGCCCAGAATCAGCCCTGAACCATTCACCGACTTTGACAATCCCTGGATTTCACGGGTCAGCTGTAGGACAACTGTAGAGATTGAATATATTGATCTGAGAGGGGACTCCACTAGAACAATTGCATCCAAGCTGCTTCGTGTTGCTGATGTGACATCTCCAATCCAAGGAACATCTATGTTTACAAACATATATGCATCTAATGACCTGACGCCTTTCTTTTTGGTCCGTCCCTGATTCTGTTTGTCCCTAAACCATGGAAGGCTCCTGAACTAGGTGAAGGACTGGCATGCTCTATGGTTTACCCTCTATTTCTCAAAGTATCTCAAAGTAACCCTTGGAGAGCAAACCATAAACCGCACCCAAAGTTGACTTGGCACATTCCTGGCCCACCTGTCAGAGGATTCTGCAGCTGAAATGGCCTCAGCTTAATCTTTGATTTGTTGGCAAAATGGGTCGAGCTCTCCCGGGTTGTCTCCTGATCGATCTTAGAACTAACTTGAACTGGCATCTCTGGTTTTCACTGGGAAGTGCTAGTAGCTCAGTAGTTCTTTCACTGCTCTAACGTCCGCATTGGTGTTTCCCCTTGCAACTCCCAAGCCTTTTGAAAACAATTGAAAACGCAGTGGCGAGCAACGTCGAAGTCTCTCCGAAACCAAGCTGGCGGACAGATCGAACCAAGGCCAAGGTCACCAGGAAAAGGTCCTTTGGCAAAAGCTTCGCACAAATCCTCCCATGCTCCCTCTTGAAGAATGCGCATCACATGATATTGGTGGGTCGGGAAAATGCCTTTATCAGAACTCTTACATGAGCTTCTGATGTTTGTTTAACCCATATATAATTCTTGGCACGCGGCTGCAAGCGTTCTTAATAACTAGAAAAGGTAAAAGCAACCATTTTCTGACTCTTGGACGTTGGGCTGAATTGCGGAAACCTAAACCTGTCGCAGATCTGAGAAGGTTGGAAGCCAGAACCCTGGCCTAACACAGTAGCTTGATCAAATGTCTGTTCCGTCATGAGGATCCAAAAAAAGCATTGCAAGTCGCTGCAGGGTTCATGTTCCTTGCTAGACCTACGCTTGAGTGCCGCAGAAACAGCTGGAGGTACAGGTACACAAGGTTCATCTTGAGTCCTGAGTTATCTTGAAGACCCTCTGTTAACATGCTCACATGTGATCATATAAATGCAGCCTTCGACCTGCTCTGTCGATTTCTGCCTGAGAAACAACCAACCCCTGACAAGCCCGAACAGTTTTTGCGGCCCAAGGCCTTCCAATGCTCTGGCCGATTCTGCTTGAGCTTCTCCATCTCTGAGACCACCTGTCTACAGGCCACGGCTATTGTTGACCAAGACATTAGGCAGTCGTGTGAAAATCACCCCAAACTCCAATCATGGCCCATTCTCTCCTTTTCTCTCGTCTCCCTCAAACTGAGAACACTGCCTTGCTGTAGTATGGAAGAGGTACTTTCTCACCTCGCTGCACTTCCATCAACAAGGAGAGGTATATATATAATATATAACGGTATACAGCAATCCTTCCAGGCCACAGAAATACTTAGGCTTAGAAATGGACTTTGCAAACTAACAAACACCTACAGTAACAATTGAGAAATCGCTATTTTCTGGACGTGAGGCCATGATGCCAACCGAGGACTGCCAAACAAAATGAAAATCCCTGAGGTTGAACCTATAAAATGCTAGAACTCCCCCGGTGTGTCAGTACATTCTGCAGTGTCATTTTGACATTTTGGTTGCTGCAACAAAGCCTTCACACGGGAGCAAAACATGGATGGGTCATATTCACTGCAAGCAACTGTTTCAACTTTCAACACATATTGTCTTGTACCAACTGTAAAAAGAGCAGGCTTGCAGAAATGCTTCACAAATCGTCTGTGGTGTTCTACACTTACTTGGCATCCGTGACACTGAAGATCAAGCATGTAATCTTACTAGGAGCAAAGGGCATCGCTACTAGGAGCAAGGACGCTACTAGGGGCTCCTGGCATCGCTACTAGGAGCAAGAAGCTACTAGGGGCTCCTGGCCTTACTACTAGGAACAAGAACGCTACTACTCTTAGAGGCGTTGCGTGGCCAACACAATCCTGTTGCTATCCAACCGTTTCCACTAGTTTTTGCAAGCACCATACTCTCTGAATTTGTCATACCATCATTCTGTGCTTTTTCCAATAACAAGTTGTTCAGTTGTCCTTTTGCCTTGGCCTTAAAGCATGCTAGGCTGTACGGTAATGCAGTCATGGACCCAGTACAAAGAAATCTACAAAGATTGTTCGGGTCATGGACAGGAGTCTTCATTGCCATAGCCAGTTGCCCATCTCCCCAACTGCTGGGAATCCATGGCAATCTCCGTGTAGGTCTGTCAGGGAACGCTTGGCCTCCAGCCTTGGAGCCGCATTGGAAAAACATGTACTAGCAAAGCTCTCCAATACCTGATGAAACGTGCAGCTACAAGTTTCTTCGTGAGGTCTTCTACACGTACTAATTTTGGAGTTGGGCGATGTCGATATTGGCTGCAAAGTTAACAAGGTCTGAGCAAACTGGAGAAGTCATATACCCTGAATATTCAGGCCTGTCAAGTTGATATCCCCTGAGGTAGCTCTTCTTCGCCGACATTGGGTAAACCGTAAACCTTGATGGCCTGATGGCTTTTCCGTCAAATTGCGTCCGACGTCTAATTACAAAGTAAGTAAACGGTTTCGAGGAAAGCTCAGCTATCTAGTTGCAGGATGCTTCACCATTCAAGTGACCTCTGTCTGTACTACAATGGCATGCCAACAGTGGAACTCACTTCTTCATATATCCTAGACTCTAACACATGTTTCCCGGCAAGCCTACAATTCCTTCGTAAGGTTATTAAACTAAAAATATCCCTCAATCCACAGAGCTAAGCTACACACTGTTGGAAGGTCTTGAGGTCTGTGGGCACTGAGACCTGGCTCAAACAAACTCCAGACTTTATGGCCTCATGAAACGAGGCTTCAGCTGGGTCGAGAGATGTGGAATGTTGATGTATCATGAAGCAGGAACGGCCGTTGTTTGTTGTGAGGTTCGTTGTGTGCAGCCATAGATCGTTCTGCTGAAGGATATAAACGCATGTGTTACCATGTGTTACCCAACCCCTTCTGATTCTTAAATGTCACCTGTTCTGGGGGCAAACTCTTCGCCTCTGGCTGCTGTTGCTGTTTTACTTCTTGCTGCCGCTGCTGATGCATCTATTGCTGGTGGATATTTTGGAGCTCTGGTTGTGGATGGCAGGCCTCTGCACCTTTCGGCAAGCAGTTCAAGAGCAGGGCCTTGTAGATGCTCAGGCCTTACAAAAAGCCCGAATACACAAAATGAATATAGCTTACATAACGTAAGTCAAAAACTCTTATGATTCTTATGGTAAGCTAGAGATAGCTAAAGTCGAGTCTAGGGCCCATCTCCAGCTCATTTGGCTTCTGGGTGACGATGCCTTTTCACTCATCGGCATCAGTCTACAGTGCATGGCAAATCTTAAGGGCCGAGCCTTTTCTCTCATAGTTACGCACAACACTGTAAGCACACGGGCATCGAAGACTGGCCTATCCAAAGTTGAACAACAGGAATTTGTACCAAGTTTGTACTCTCCCATGACCGAGGAACATCTTCACCAGCTCAGCAACAGCTATGCTTGTACTTTACATGCCAAAAACAGTGCATTGAGTTTTGATGCCTGTACCAGTGGCAAAGAAAACTCAGCCTGTTTCGGACACAGTGGCATACTCTACCCAAAGCTCTCGTAGACTTGGCACAATTGTTAGTGGAACAATTCCATTGCACAATCTTGGCCATTTTGGATTTGCAACAAAAGCTTCCCATAGCTGGACGACGACAACTTCAAGATTAGTTTGTGGTCTCGACCACTGTGCACATGCCCCAGGATACTTGGGCAGCTCTTACACATTATATATATAAGTTAGAGTGCACAATCCTGGTAGATATATAGATCTTATCTTATAGAGATAACACGCAAGCACACAGTGGCACACAGGTTATGACATATAAGTTTGTTGATAGCTTGCTGAATAGATCATTGACTTCCCAGGAAACTCCAGCCACCTTACCAGTGAGTCAAACTTTGAAAACAAGGCTTGGACCCCAATCATCCCTAACCCACATCCATAGTTTATATATGTGTATATCAGTATTTGTCCTGGCAATCACTGGAGTACTGAGTTTTGACCCACACCGCCTTAACCGCATGAATCATCTGAACACATTCCAGGATGTAACCCTATCTGAGAGACCAGCTTGCAAACAATGCCTTCAGCCTCTGTGATTCCACCTGCGGTGCCATTGTCCAATTTCAATGAGGATATCCAAATATGTACAGTATATATATATATACATATCCAACAACCAATAACCAAAGCTACATTGATCCAGCCAACTGCAGGCTACAATCACAAAGCTGGGAAGTCGAAGCCATCAAATTGTGGATCTTGTGGGAAATTCCAACCCATCACAGGGGCGTCCCACGAGGCCAAAGCTAGTGCAGCTAGTGGCCTTCGTAGCCTACCCCCACTTGTGCCACCATGGCCGGCATGGCGAGGAATCAGATTTAGAAAATCAAACCAAGCTGGGAAATCAGAGTAAAACATTCAACATGCATGGCAGGTTGTTGCCTTGCTAGCTCTAGCCGACAGAGCTATGTTGATCCAAACACATCTATAAATTTAGCAACTCGAAACACAAGTACCAATGCTGTCCAGCTAATTCAATGATTCAACGGATACTATATTCGGTGCCGTGGGTCACTCTTCCTGGTTCGGCTGCACGGTCAACGAAAAGCCAGGACACACCCAACTTCTCAACATGTCTGAACTATGATCACTGCGCACCTTGCGCTGACGCCTCAGATGCATGATCACGGCATCAATTGCATTGATTTTTGACACCCGCAACTGGCCCACAACCCAAATTATGATACACATGTATATATATATATATTAATATATGATTACAGTGTGTATATATAATTATATATATATGTATAATGTATACACTTAGTGTTTAATGTGTTAGTGTGAGGTCTCAAGCTTTGTGAACATCAAGCAACGCCATGGGTTCAAACAGAGTGTTCTGTCTGTGTTTTGTGCACCCACAATCCCAGCAAGAAAAGGAACATCGAGAGTTGCCAACCACAACAAACTTGCAGTGGAAAATGTCCTCATCGATTCCAAGGTCTGGTCAACGTGTTGTTTCTCAGAAGCGATCGCTGAACCACAGTTTCATGGGGCTCCGCCTTTGAACCAAAGATTGAGCACTGACTCTGACTCAGGGCATGTTACATATATACGCTTGACGCAGTTACTACGTACAAACGCATGAGTTTCTAGGGTTTCAGCTGCCGCGGCAGCTCATTCATTGCTGCTCTCGCTGTTGCTGCTGCTGCCGGATTCGTGTTGAGAACTTAAAGGCGCTGCTTTCTCTTGGCTGCAAACCGAGCCTCCTCTTTTCACAGCGTGCAATTTTCTCCGCTGTAGAATCACTAAGCGCGCCCTTGTCATTCATGCTCAAATGTTTGTGTCAATTGATCAAAGCACTGCCTTATGAGTGGAGGGTGCTGCGGAGAAGTTTCATGCATGCAGCGCACCAATTTTTCGGGGCTTGCACTACAAACGTGAAATGAAAGGTAATCATTCCTCCTGGAACAAGGAGTGGAGCTTCGACCTCTACAAATGGTCACCATCATCATCTGCCCCACCGCGAAGCTTGGCAACTCTTTGGAACGTTCATTGTGGCTTGAATGGCTTGAACAACTCTCATGACACAGCACGCAAAAGCTTGAGCAGTTGGAACAAGTGACTACAAGTAAATTCGCAAATCTATTGTGGCATACAAAACATGCCTCTCGAGCCTTTCAAGGCCCAGGCTGCTCCAAAACGACCCAAGGGTCGTAGCCCCCCGCAATGCTGCTGCCTCATGGCAGTCCAGGAGTTTTCCATAGTTTTCCTGTGAGGGAAAATCTGGGGGCATCAGTGTCAGAACCCACCCAAGTGCCGCGCAACAAACCTCTTTTCCCAACAGGTGTGCTGAGAAGTTTGTCTACAGTAGTCGAGGATGATTAAGTGTCCACGTTGCAGTGCAAGATAGTGCAAGCCAACCTCCACACACAACCCACCCGCAGTCTCCTCTATATAGCCCGTTTCTCGTCTAGTGATAGTGCGCATATGAGGGTCTGCATCCTATTGCCTATTGCCTTTAGCAGGGGCTCCCAAAATGGATGGTGCAACTCTTGTCTTTGCGGGGGTCGCGCCAAGTGCGTGCAAATTCCCCTAGACTGTCCTCAATCAAGAAGGGTGTGGTCAAGTGTATTTATTAGGGCTACATAAATCTCCAAAAGTGACATCACAAGTTGGTAGCGTCTCGGAATAAATCCACACATTCTCATTGAAAATGATTGAAAGTGCACCTGCACCATGAACACCAACCAAGCAGTCTCGATTAAGCATCACACCTTGTTTTCCTTGATGAATGTGGAGGCTGCTGGTGAAGTCTGCATGTGCATCTACTACTTAGATAATCGACCTGACTTCCCAGAGAGAGCGGTGGAAAGCACACTATAATTTTGAAAAATAGGATCTGGCAATGTGCCTTCCGTGTATTTTGGAACCATGGGTTTGCCGGCTCGCCCACCTGTCTATTTCGATGTCTTGTACAACCCTACAAACTCTCAGACTCTAGACACCAATGCTGCATCACAAAAAGCGCGGCCATCAAGAATGATAACCAGAAAAGCAGGCATGTTCCACAGGATGCACAACAACGCGCCGATTGGTCATAAACGCGTGCCAACGACGATCGAATTCCCCTTGTAAACGGACCCATCATGTCCAGTTTGTCCCACGCACAGTATGGTGTCAGCTAAACAAAAGATCAAAGTTTGTTGGCGCGACACTGTCTGACACACGAAAGGATTCGAGAACAGTGAGCAAACCTGGACTGTCTATGTGACTTTCGGCTGGAGATCCACGGCCCAACCGTCAAGCCTTTCCTTTTTTGATCCTCTGTCAAGTCTAAGAGACAAGGAAGGGCTTATCCTTCTCGGCTGCTTACAAAGGCTTCAGGCAATCCAAATAAATGGCGGCGATGCTCAATGTGTCCGTTTGAGGCGTCCACAAACGAAGTCAGAAACCAAAACATCGATGACAATGTTGTGACATCGATGACAATAATATGTTAATGTGATATCGACTTACCACACGGGGTGGGTTGCACGAAAACACACCATAGCTGGCTTAAAACGCACGAACAACACCTATATGAGGGGCTAAAAAATCGTATGGACCCATGCACGGATGTGAAACAATATGGGAACAAAATGTCCATCCGGCGATGGCCTGCAAGCCCTGCCTACAGTAGTTTCTTGTCCCCGCAGTGATGGTCAACCCAGAACCCCCTCCCTCCAAAGTGCCTGCTGGATCGTACTTAGATTGCTCGTCAAAGATGTAGCTGGAGCCTAGCAAGTCTTGTAGTCTTGTGTATCAACCCGCAGTCACGTCATAAAAGCATTTGCCTCTGTGTACTGTAATGTCAAACCTAGAGTGCATCTCATCATCAAGTGGAGTGGCCCACAAAGCATTATATATAGAGAGAGAGAGACTTATATAGATGGTAAACAATTCCCCATTTAAAGGACAAAGTGGAGATGTGAATTTGGTCTACCAATCATTGCCAATCATTGGGTCAGCCACTTTCTGAAATGGCTCAGCAGTGCAGGCAGCTGGGACAATTCCGCAGGGAAGGCCAACTGTACTATTTAAACTGCGGGTGGGCATCCACTCAAAATAGCAAATAATATATAATAGCAAACCTTGGCAACTCCCAAGTTCTTCTAGGATTGAATCAACAAAATAATGCTTGAAACCTGCCAACTTGCCGTATCTGCGAATTTGACTGAACATCATTTAAGATCTCTTTGGAATTTTGCCCAACGTCTTGAAACACCATTGAATCATGAAGGTGAGAGCCAGTGTAGGTTGCAGGTTTTCTATGCTAGTAGCGTCCTTGCTCCTAGTAGCGATGCCCTTGTTACCAGTAGCTTCTTGTTACTAGTAGGACGGCCAGGAGCCCCTAGTAGTGTCCTTGCTCCTAACATGGGGTGGAGGTCTGCGGACAGTCTCCCGCGGGTGAAGGCCTTGGAGGTGGCGCACCTTTGGAGACGACGACAAAGGTGTAATGTCTAGTCAGTGGTGCAGGTGTGGCACAGGCGCGCGGAAACACATCGTGAACCACATACTCAAAGCACAGCAAATCAATTAACATGATGGCCCTTTTCCAAGCTCTCAAGGGAGCTCGTTTTCAAGCGAGGGTCCAAGGGGCTAGCAAAAGTTGTGTTCTAGGCTTCTCCAGAATTCCTCTGTGTGATTCAATACCCCCCCTTGAACGCATATTATGTAAATACATCCACGGCTGCTAAGCGGGGGAAGTCCAGTGTCAGCGATCCTCTCCGTGCAATCGCTGAGCATGTCGGGCTCCCGAAGCACTTGGACATCAGGTTCTCCCATTACGACTAACATGTTTTTTTTCTGCAGCCTTCCGACCCCCAAACCTATGGCTGCTGCCAATTTGCTTCTAAGAAGGAACCCTGCCACTCGACCTGCGATACTATCTGCTTGTTGCATGGCCTTCTGGGGTGCCCACATGCTCGGCTGCCTTCTCATCATCAAAGTCTTTCAAATGAAGATCCAAGCAAGCCTCTTCGCAGCTAGCCGAACTGATTGAATGAATATAGGTTCAACTGGGTTGAAAGCAACTAGATTGACGAGAGAATGGCCATCAACTGAACACTAAAATACATTAAAGAATGCTCTGTCCCCACTGTCCAAGCAGTCCAAGTATCATTCAGCATGTCAATGTGTTGGAAAGGACATTCATACAGAGTTGTTTGCTTATTGAATATTATACAATGTATAATATATAACAATATACAATAGAATATATATATATAGTAGAAATATATTGCCAGCACTACAGTAAATCATGAACAGTTATTGAAAATCCCAAGTCTCTGTCTGGCCTATCTTCACCCACTCAAACGTTAGAAGAACCCCAATGACAGCATAATACTTCAGGACAAAGCATTCACAGGATTGCTGCTATAAACATCCGTGAACTCCATAAGACAATGCAAGCTGCCCCGGAAATAGACGAATGCATGTCCACTGAGATCTGGTTGGCATGAGCCAGAACTCTTACCAACAACCGTCCAGCTGACTTGCAGCGTATCAAGCTTGGTCCTACGTATTCAAAAATATATATACAAAACTAAACACAACATACTTTGTGTACCAGTTGCATTCTATCTCAAGCAATGCCTGTGGTTCTCTATGTTGAGATGTAGCTCACATCGCAAGCCGCTCTGCTCCTCTAGTGGCTCATGCCTGCAACCTGATCTATATAATTGAAACAATCTGCTGAATGTCTGTGATCAAGAACTCTATGCCAGCTAGACTCGCAATTCTGTGTGGACAAAGTGGTGTCTTCTTGCTAAAATCTCTGCTGACAGCAAGTGTTCTTCGTTGGTTTTCCACATTGCTCACAGCAAAGCCCGCCTTGATGATTGCAACCTTGGGCTTGTAGGAGTTCTCAAGGTTTGCGATCGTGTCAAGCGCCTCGAGGGAACAAATGGATCAAACAGCCTACATCATTTCACATCAGAATAGTATAGCCAGTCTCAAACATTCTCAAACAACACCGGCCCAAACGCATCTGCTTCCCATCTCTTTGCGAAGGCCTCAACCGCATCTCCCAAGGTTTCCATGAGAGTCCTGGTCCGTTTGCTCAGGAAGCAAACAACCAAACTTGTTCATGCTGGGGAAATCCACATTGGATGTTCGAACATGTTCGAACAATATCTTCTGATGCAGAACAATCAACCCACTGGAGGGCAAAGTGACAGCAAACAGCTGTTACCTGGGAATTACCCTTGAAGGTATAGGTATTCAAGCGGTTCTCAGGGAATTCTATCGAGAATCTGCACCAAATCCATTAAATCTAGCTACTATGCAAAAAATTGCAAAAACATCTGAAATTGGAGCACACGCTGGACGGCTTGAAAACAAAACGGAGCAAGACTCTAATTTGTCTGCAGTGTCATGGCCCAGCCCTGAGCAACCGGCTCACACCCCCCAATGCGAGGTCGTGTGGCTGCTAAGCGCCAGCCTGGCCAGAGCTGTCAGGTCCAACGAAGCACTGAAACGCCCATGTTTGCACAGTCTTGTTGCGGCAATGAAAACAAGCCTAGGTTTGCGTATGATGGGGCAATGGTTATTTTGCAAAAGCAAGGATGCAAAAAGTATCACACATTATGAAAACAACTATGTAAGTGGAGCTGTTGAGCAGTGTGAACGGTCAAGGCGCCTGGCTGCGTGTATCTATGGCTACTGTCCGAGCAATGCTGTCACAACCCATCGAAAGTGTTTCAACATGGTTCAACACTTGTTTCAACAGTCTGTTTTTTCGGCCCGTTTCATGACTTAGCATCTGCAAAGCTTCCGTTGCACTGAGCACTGGCATGCACTGGCCATGATCAACATGAAACACTGTCAAGCATTGCTCAGGTGAAATGTGATTTACTTTCAGCTTGCAATTAGTCAAACAACCTTGCAATGATCCGGCGTCGCTCACATCAAAACAGCATAAAGCTTGCCTGGACGAGAACAATCGAAACATTGTCCAGCCCCACCTTCGGCTTCCATGCACAGCTTGACACGGAGCACTTCGCACCTGTCCCATCAAGACGACGCACCAGCTGGGAACCATTGGGTTCCGCGTTTCCACTGGCATGTTGGATGCAGCTAGTGTAACTACGCCAGGTGAAATTACATCCTGGTGTCAATGGATCGCTGTTGATCCTTCGTCTTTATTTTCAACATTGGGTTCAGCAATCTTGTGGACGGGCTTGGGTATATTTGTAGACGTCCAATCTATACAAAATGAATTGTCTCAACATTTTTACTGTGCACAAATAAACACGAAACGCCTGAAGTGAGGCTCCTTAGACCGCTCTCGTGCAACAGCCAGCTCCGACTTCTGGTAGGTCCTGGACGGGATGGCTTAACTTTGCATTCGACGAACACATGCTTCTTGATGATCTGGAACGAGTAAACTCTCTCTCTCTCTCTCCGCACGGTACCCGTTCTTTTGGGCATCCCCAGCGAGGTGCCCAAAGACCCTCGAGCATGCTTAATCCAGTGGACTTGGACACGATGGATTGTTTGTCCACAGTACATAGAACTTGTCAAACCTTCCTACATAAGGGATCTCAAGCAGCTACACAACCTCACAGAAAAGTTCAGCTTCATGATGCTTGGTGCATGTTTGGAGAGGCATACTCTTGTTCATCATGTTAAGGCATCTTTGTTCGCCCCTCACATCATGTCTTCGTTTTTGCCCTTAACGGAGTCCAAGCTGTGTCCTGGCCAATAAGCCTCTCTGGGACATAGACTCCATGAGAGTGTGGACCTCAGCTAAAGCTGAACGCCATCGAGGTGCAGTCCCAAGAGCACATCAGCCAAAATGAGTGAAGAAGAGTCTGTGTACATCTGAGGGTGGGCATGATGAGCTGTTGGTACTTGGCATCGTTCCCCAAACTTGTTTGAAATAGCAAAACGCCAACGCCTATATAAGCTGTGTTTTTGTCATGTTCTTTGGTTCTGACTACAAAGCGGTCTGCAATAGATCATCTCGGGACTGGAGCCCTTTCGCAGTCGATTGCTGTATTCTCATTCTTGGTTCCGGAATCAGTACAAGAAAGGTAACATGGGACCTGAGTCTTGGACTCAGAGTCTTTGCTTTGGGGGATGTTTGTGCTGCATACCCAAGGCAGCCTGGCACTCAGGACCCTGCTTCGTTCTCCATATTGCAGGCATCACTCAGGTAGCCTCTTAGCAAGGCACAGGTGAGAACAGGCAACCAGGAAACTGAAAACCATTCCCAGGGAAGTCAGCAAACACATTTACAGTAAACACGTTACAGTATATATACATATATTGTTTCACACCGCCCTCCATGCAGTGTTAAAACCAGTCCTTTCAAGCACATGTTTTAAAATTTTGGATCAACCCTTGCACCATTGCCCAACGGCCTAGAGCGGCCTCTGCTGAAGCATGTGCCTCGGCTGGCGCAGGGTAGTCAACAAGAGCTTACCTTCACCTGATCATCTCACCTCCCTGCAACCAAAAGCAATTGATCTCGCAGCAAGTGGGTTGCTCCTTTGAACGCACTGAAACCCTTTGAACATGATTTTCTGTCACTGTTGCATTGCAAAAGGGCAGGAAGGAGCTTTCTGCAAATGAGTTGTCATTTGTGGAATAAGTTTTGCCAGGGTATGAGGAACCTCTGGCTCAGCAGCAGGGGCTAAACAAATCGTTGATTTGGGAATCATTTCTTACCAAGTCATGGTATATCAACCCAAAAAGGTACACAACAAAAACTGAAAGCGCTGAGGCATTGTTCTCTGTCTGGGAACCTTTGTTGAGATGCAGCAACTTCTCTCTGGTTTCTGGCAGGCAGGTGCTGTCTCAGCAAAATGAAACAAATTTCTCCAGCCTGGCCCAAATCTTCCAGGACCGCTGTATATTTGTCCATGTCCGCTGGCCGCTGGATTTCAGGGAGTCCATCAAATAGCAAAAATATGAGCCAAGCGTCACCCAGTTGCTTTCGAAGCTTCCACTCGATTCGCCCCATGACATAGGGAACGTACCTGGACTCTGATGCGGCTGATCCCATCTTTACGGAGCAAACAATGATGCCAGCCAGGATAGGTCAGGCATGGTTGTAGCTTCTTTTGCAGGGCGGAGTCCAGGCTAATCATCTTCCCACCGCAGCCAACAATGATGGCGACTCCAATGATTTTGCAATCAGATTCTAATCGATACCTGGCAGCCAATGGCTTCAAGTGATCAAAGGTCCAGGATGGCACCAGCCAACAAATGGTATCCACCAACCTTTCCAAAGGCTGCCTCTATTGTTTGCTTTAGATGTACCAGTGACGGTAAACACACAAGTACAACATCAGTAATTCCATGCCGTACCTTCCCAAGGCCTGAGGCTATTGCACATAATACATATTCTGAGTCATATTCTACACATCTACCTCACTTCTACAAGTTCTACTCAGAAAGGCCAGATTGGTGCCCAGGTGTTGCCAACGAACCTTACCTTGCTGGACGCTCCGATGAATCATGGCTGGGCGTACCAAAGATAAGCAGGAGGCGATCCAAGTGCTCCACTCCTACGATGTTGCAAAGCGGTGATACAAGAACAAATTAAGAAACACGCCGGAATCGCACGAACTCTTTGGGCTGGACTACGAAATTATGTGTATATATATATATAGCTGGATTTGGATCTTTGCTGTTGAAGTCCGGTTCAAGCCCTCATCTTCGGACAGCCATGTTGATCTCAAGCCTGTGACATTCTTGAAGCAAAGCAAACACAACTTTGGGCACACTTGAAGGATCATTTCTTGCCTTCCATAGCCTTCCTACATGGGAGTGGCTCAGAAAGGTGGTTCGCACCGTTCCGCAGTGATTCGTACATATGGAACGCCTAGTTCGAAAGGCCTGTGATCAAAAACACATGTGGACACATAGGGCTATGCTGACATGACAGCAGGTTCCAAGCCACTTGGCCACAGGTTCTTAGCAGACATTCTTCTAGGGTCACATGCAAGAGGTGGCAAAGGTGCACATTGTGAAGAAGCAGAAGCACGTAAACGTCCACCCAGCGTATGGCTGGAGACTCTTTTCAATCGAAGCCTCTGAAACGTCACTGCTACTATTGTTTGACGAGCTGAAGGAGCTTCTTGACGAGACCGCTTGAGTGGCCGCCTTTCCTCCGAGACTAGCGTTTCATGGTCTGGTTGTCTCCTGTTTGCCAGCCAAGTTTTTGCGCGGCAATGGGCTTGCAGATGTCGTTGCAACAGGGTCTCAGGTAAAGCGTCGTTTTCTGGCTCATCCTTTGATCCTTTCGGTGTCAATCCCGCCAATCATCTTCAGTGTGCACTTTATCAATGACTATTGCAACACCAAGGTTCCTCCCTCCACCTGGCACGCCGGCTTTGTCACTGTACACAGTTGGCTGGGAATCTTGAGCTCTCCGCTTTGAAGAAACACAGGCAATAGGTATATTCTATCTTCAGGTCCTTGGCTGAAACATCCAAGTACAAGTGCGTTCGAGTCTTCAGTGGGTGGAAGTGGGCAACCTCATAGCATGGACCTTTGGAAAAAGACTCGCTCATCATCGTGGTGTGCTGTGCCTCTTCACACCAGGCTGACAACAATCCTTTGCAAGTAGAAATGACATTCTGATTGGTGAAGGAATCCATCCAGGAAGACTGGAGGCCAAATTGGCCATCATTCCTTGCCGTAACATAAATTTGTTTGACCGTTGAACCTTTGAGCTGTCGAATCGCGCAGGATGTCGACACCTGTTGCAATGAAGGTATAGGCGCGGCGATTGGGACCACAATCGGCCCAAACGTAAAAGCGCGAGCATGTGGAAGGCAAACAGAGTCAGCGAACGCAATCCTCAAGCGCTACAAATGCGTGGAGAGCAAAGTAGAAGCGCTTCTGCGTACCATCTGCCCGCTTGAGCTTCACGTGCTTCTTCCCGTGAGAGACAAGTCCAGGGGGCAGCGCAGCGCCTTCCAAAAAAACCTTGGTCTTTTGCGGGGTCCCAAGACAAACCCCAAGAAAAACAGGATGTAGCAAATGATCCCAGGCACTGCCTCTGCAGAAGCCGCAGGTAGTTCCATGACAGGACGGCGACTTGAGCTGGCACTCCACATGCTTTGTCTCCTTGCAAACCTTGCACACATGGGCCTTGTCCCACAGCATCCGCATGACATCCCCAGTGTCATGCAGGGTGCTTCACACAGGCTTTTCTGCTGGAGTCCGCTTGAGCGGCTAGACTTCAGCCAGTTTGGGTGGAGTCTTTACTTCCACTTCCTGGCGGGTGTGTGGGTATCTAAATTGAAGACGATTCCGTACCTTTTCGCAGGCCCTGAAACGACAAGAGTTGACAGTTGACTGAAGTCTGCCCTACTGGTCCTGGTCTGGAGCCTTTGCAGAAGAAGCTGGCTTTGCTTGAGCAGTGACCTGTTAAAGCCTCTTCTGTGTTTTGTGACACCACTCACTCACAAAATATATGCATGCAACTTGTTGCCTTCATCCGCTGTCCTGGTCATAAGCAGGTAGCCCAAACAAGACTGGGAACAACATCCTCCGTTGGCTAACATAAAAAGACAAAACACCAAGTCTCACTATCTGGGGCTGGTATTATTCCTCGAAGGATTCTTCTGAGCACTCCCCATGCCGTGAACCTTGTGGCTCTGATGCTGCTGCTTTGCAACATTTGGCGCACGCTATGAAAGGCCTTTCTCTAAAATACTATATAGTTATAATTGTTTACTGACTCTTACAGGTAATAGGACCGTCCCAAGATATATACATAATTATATATATAACTATACTATATATTACACATATTACATATATATATATATATATGACCTACCCGTCAACAAGTAAATTGCCAGGAGGTATGGATCGGGATTATGGATCGCTTGTGGGCCCGGCTCCTTGATCCATACCTAACATGTTGAGCTGCCTGCTTGGATGGATAATGATGTGAGAACAGTTTACAAGAAGAACATGAAACAAATTGTCTCCGCTCCTGAAACAAAGCAAAGGCTCAGCACGGCCTGCAAAGCCTTGCCTCAGTAGCTCAAAGGTCTGAAGACTGATGGGTCGACAACCAACAATCGGTTTCATTTTGATTCCAGCCTCTGACAATAGCAATGTTGAAATTGAACAAACATATGCAGTATTTGTGTCCCTCGCTGTGTCATTGTCTGTCCATCCTCCGTCTCGCTCTGTCTCAGTCAGGGCTTCTGCCACTCCTCCGGAAGCTTCAGCACAGCCTCCGCGTCTCAAGCCCACGCAGAATCTAAAATACAAAATGCCAGCTTGGCGGCTTGTTGGTTTCAGGTTGTTTCAGGAAAGCAGAATTCCGGGAAGATTTGCTGTCAAAAGCAGTTGAACGAGAAAAACACAAGAATATCAATGCTGGAGGTTGCTGGCGGGCAGTACATGATTTGCTAGCCTCTGCCTGAGTGTGCCCCATGTCTGCCCTAAATTTGTTGTCTCAAGGGATCTGAGGTACGTACGCTGGCCTTTTGAAGAGCCTCCCTGCAAGCCGGGATCACATCTCCATAGTCCTGAAGATTGTTGCATTCACTTCCCGTGTCACTGGGGAGTCTTGCGCACATTAACAGTTTAGTTAAATTGGCCAACCAAATTGTCAGTCAATGAATGAGCAGCCCTGGCTAAAATCCACGAACATGTCTTCGACATCTACTAGCCACCTGCATTGACGTGGTTAACAAGTGTTAAAAGTGCTGAGCTCTTCTCGAGAGTTCTGCGTACATCAGGACATGGTGCTTGTAACTTGTCAAAACTTATAATGCATCGCTGAAACTTTGCATCGCTGAAATCACCTCGACTTCAAATCATCCATGCTCGTGCTGAGGTGTGTCTGAAGAAGCATTAGTGCGGTCTTGCACTTCTGAGCACATGGCGTAAATGCAAACAACTGTCATTCCATGCATGTCTGGTACTCGCACAAGCAGTCCGTGCAGTGCACCAAGAACCAAATGAGACTCAGCGCCAGGTGCTGACAGCGGCGCCTGTGACACAAACCCTGGAGGCAAGCCAATCAGCAAAGCGGCAATAATATTTCTATTCAGGGCCCCAGTTTGTTGGACGGCAAAATTCTTTAACAAAGAGGACACAGAATGGAGTGCTGCCACATAGATCATGCAATGTGGGTCGTCTCGATTCGTTTCGCCACATTCTGCACTTGTTCTGATTGCTTGCCCTTGCCAAGTTTCCCATATAATAGCCATCGGCCACGCTTGCCCTCAATCACCCACAACCACTGTCCGATATTCTACCTTTCCCAATACGTTGTGTCACTCATGAAATAAAGCTCGCATTCTCTGGGGTCACCCAACCACTCCTTTCTTCGGCTTTCTTGGCACCCGAGCAAATGCAATTTGCCATCAAGCTTGGCCTTCACGGCGCACGAGTTCTGATGGCTTCTATATAGATCATAAGGAGGAGGGGGTCCAAGAGTCCAAGAAGACTGTGCTGTCTATCTTTCTGATCACAAAGCATCCCCAAAAGCCTAACGAATCACCAAAGCCCGACAAGTGGACCCAATGAATTACTCTTACCATTTATTCTCTGCTGGGCTCAATCTGGAACTGTGGCACTTCACTCAATCATGTATGTTTTACTATTTCTGCAGATTGTGATGAACTGTTGGCTCCCTTCAATCAAGACTGACAGTGTCTACTAAAGCCCCATTAACGCATTTCATGTACATCATTGTTGAAGAGATGCATCACCGCCCTCTCCCCTTTGGAGCCAAATCACTGGACCGTGCACATGTTTAAACTATATTTCAGCAATTCAAAGTTGAGTTTCAGCCATCTTCAAACAGGTGAATGAAGCTTAAAGCAAGCCACAAAATATCGCCGCCGTAGCATCATCAGCACTAGCAACTCCAATTTCCTGCAATGCTTGCAGTGGTTGTTGAGGCCTTTGATACACTTCAAACATCTTCAATCCTTCAACCACTCATGCCGAGCAGTTGGACATTGTTGCGGGTGTTCTGAGCCATGAAAAGCCTTTGCCTTCAGCCCCAAAAACCTTTTGAAACTAGCAGCTACTAGCCTGGGTGTTGCTCAATGGACCATCTACAGTAGCACACAGTGACCCAGGAAAGCCGCCTTTGAGGATTCTGCAAAAAGTGGAAAACTATGAAGATTTCGGCCTATGAAGAGTTGGGGCTAAATATACAGGATAGGTTGAGGGTGCGTGTCGGCCTGAAGCGATGCATGAAAGAATGCTGGGCCAAGGAACCATAGACCTTCCCAACAGGAAGAAACAGAATTACTTACCAGTTCATCTTGAAATTCATATGCCAAACCTTTCCCAAACACACAAAATGCTCCCGCTGAAGGTAACTGGTGAGAAGTCTGTCGTCTGCCATTTCACGACCTGAATCAATAGAATTCCCCACACGTTTCAGGCCAGTGTACCCTCTCACGAACAAAGAGGTTGTACCTGATATTGGGCTTGGAGAATCAGAGTATCTTGCCACACAGGTCCACAAATTTGTCCCCCATTCTGAATTCTCACGCCCACCTTTCAAACCAGGCTCTGGCCAAGTGCTGCTGGTCAGCTACCGGTGCAGCCTCAGCTCAGTGACAGGATCGCTCGAGCAAACTTCGATGATTCATCAAAATGGCGTTAAGTTTCCACCCATATCAAGAAGCTACTAGGGGCTCCTGGCCTTACTACTAGGAACAAGAAGCTACAATCATGCGAAGGGTTCTCCAAGGAAGCCCAAGCTCTGCATTACTAGCTACTAGTAGCGATGCCAGGATCCCCTAGTAGCGTCCTTGCTACTAGTAGCTGCCTACTTCATGTGCCCCTCTTACTACTTTCACTGTCACTACTTGATAGCTCTGCTGGCATGCCCCCTCCCCCCAATTGTCATGTGGCTGGCTGGTGGAGTGAGAGCCCTTTAAGCTGCGCACCTTCCTTCAACAGCAAGAATGGTCTAAATCCATTACCAGTATGGTGTCGACAGAGTTTCAACCCATTCCTGCAGTTGTCATATTGGTTGCAGTAGTTTCACGTCAACAAGAACTTTTGCGAATGAGCAAAGCAAGTTTTGACTATCTTTCTGACATGTTCGAGGCATTTATGTTCGATTTGACTGGGGTCCGTTTTTAACCCATGTTTGGACGTGCCACAATCGGCCTTCATCGCAGTGTCCGAGAAGCATCTCCATGCACCACCTTGAAAATGTAATATTACATTTTCCTGACCGTCCTGACCCCCCTAGCTTACATGTTTCAAAACTGTAAGCTTACAATTTTGAGGTCCCCCCCAAAAGTGCTTCATAGAATATCCATATGGTCCATATATGAAGTCGACTGAAATCAACATCACAACACCAGCAGCACCCAAAACAACAACGTCTTCATTCTCCAACGCTGCCCGATCCTATTCTATCCTTTCCTTGGGCCCTGAAAGTTGTCTGCCACAATTCACAGCTCTTGAAAAAATATACATGCCGTGTTTCTGGTTACCTAACAACCTAACAAACAGGGGGGGGGAATGTAAGTTACATTTTTCTGCCCCCCCAACACAAAATCGGAAACGGATCAATATGCAATGGACTCTGTATTCCCCAGGAATAACCTAAGAATGTCTCGGGGGGGTTACATATGTCCACATCCATATACTATCTTCTGTACCTACAGGCTTAAATCTGAACATTAATCCACCCCTCCCCTCCCCTCCAACAAATGTAAGTTACATTTCTGGAGGTCCCCCTCCATTTTCGATGGTTAAAGGGGTAGGGATCCAGTATCCAGTGTTAGAGTTTCCTGTCCACTCCCAATTCACTTCAAGAAGTTATGATTTGGGTGTCAATTTAAGAAACTTTCGGCTCTAAATTATCTTTTGCCTCTATGCATCTAGGCCAGTTCACATCTCAGCGCGTTTGACAGCTTCAAGCTATGGGGGCTCTCGGCTCTCAGCTTCATGCCCGCCGAATGGATTGGCGAATGGACGACCTCGGCAACTGATCGCAAGATCTGATTCACTGTCGCATAATGAATTTGACATCCGTGCTCTGGACAGAAGTGGACTGATCTCAAGTCAATCGGGACCATCAGGCCAATAATGACGACTACTGGACCTTTTGGATCACATGACCAGCAGCTTAGATTCTTAGATTCTTTCTCCTGTCGGTATCCGACGTCTGTCACTTCCCCCTAAGGACTGTGCTGAATCATGAGGTTCAGGACTTTCGTCTGACCTCAAAATTGAAAAGAATTAATATTTATATAGCTGCCCAGTTCATGTCCCTGTCTCATGGGCGAGTGATTTCAACATACAAGCTGCCTGATTTAAATATCAACAACAGAAAAAAAAAGAAATACAGGAACTCCAACTAGATTCCCTTTCTACCAGTAGTTTACCTGGAACTCCAACTATATAGATTCCCTGTGTGCGAGTAGTTTACCTTCAAAGCCGCTGAGCATATCCTGGGCCATCTGCGACACAGGAAGATCAGCCGTGGAGGCCAACTGCGATCTGCCTTGAATTCGATCAGCACACTGTGCACTGGTACTGATGGTTTTGAGCATGGGGGGCATAAACAATGAGAAACATGCGGGCCGCATGGCATTGCAAAAGAACTCACAATTTGTGTATATATATATATATGTATATATATATATGGTATAATCTGCCTCGTGAATTTGAGAAGGTGTCATGACAAGATTCTGGCAGGAGGATTCAGCAGGGCCTGCGATTGAATTACCCATGTGTAGGAGGTTTTTCTCTCCCAAAAGTCTTTAAAAAAGAGAGAGAGAGAGAGTCAAAAACGAAGGTTAGGGCCCCTTTACAGTAAGGATTCTGTACATTGGGCCTATTCAAGGGACCCTTATACAATTACTTCCTTTTGTATCCGGTTGTTCAAGCATTGTACTTTCAAGTCTTTGGAGCTGCAATAGCCTCTTTCCATCGAACAGGATACCAGTTGGTTGAGCATGGTTTCCTGGAACACTGCTGAAATCACTTTATATAATCAGCATGGAGGAAACGCAAAATTAGCATGCAGTATCCACCAACATGTGACTGACGGTCAGTAGGCCCTAACCCTCAGCGAAGGGGGCCAGCTGCAAGCATAGCCATGATACTGTGGTTGTCGTACCTTGTGCTGTTTTCTCGCTTCTAGTTGAGGACTTCTTGGATATCTAGCATCATGGCATATCATGGCCCTCCCTGGCAACCTGAGCAGTGCTATCTCGCCGGCCTCAAGCTTCTGTGTCCAGCTTTCCTTTAAGCAAGTGGAATCATCCTGCAAGTCGCATGTGGGCTGGGTGACTTCCAACAAACCAATCAACAAAGGACTCTGATCATGCCATGGAAAAAGGAGTTCATGTTCACCTTCTATCTAAACTCTAAACCTAAGTGTGTATATGTATATATATATATATCAGCCAACAAAATCTGCTGGCGCAATGGCCACAATATAGCGTGGCGTAATATACAGCCAGCCCGATCAGTGAATCTCGCTGGTTCAGGTAGATTATGTAGGTGGTGCTAGCTTTCTTGCATTGCCCTGTGCTGCAGAATCCGGTCTCGCATGGTCTCACAATTCAAGACAGTTCAGTGTCCTCCACAACCCAAAGGCGTGCGTAAATGTCTGCGAGACCTTGGCAGCTTGCCTTGAAGGACTCTAAGCAAACAAACTCCACTGGATACAGCAATCACATCAACAATGAACTTCGACACGAGCCACTCTCTGCACATTTGCCATCATTCAAAGTCTTGATGCCCGCAAACACACATGCTTCGAAGGTTTCAGAGAAACCTGCAATTGCTGCAGGCACAATCATGATGACCATGCTCAGCAGTGGGCGCGACCATAATTTACACCCTGGACCTCGGGAACAGAAGGATCCTTGAAACTTACCGCTGGATAAACAGCAAGATACACAAAGTGTCATCTGGAGAGAGATCCAAGTCACAAGTCAATCGGCAAACACATGAAAACTATAAATACAAAATATCAGTGGTGAACAACATCTTCTTGTGGCATTTGGCAGATGTTGGCAGATTGAGGTCCTCTCACTGCAACACTGAGGTATGTGCAAATTGCCAATGCTTTGGTGATGCAAACGATTGCCTGGTTCCGCATCCAGCTGGTAATTCCCAATGTCTGCTTATCAGCAACCTTAAAGAACTTGGGCAACGTTCTCGAAAGTTGTGAGACTGGCATAGCAAATGCGCTTGGCCAGTTCCCATGACCAAATTGTTTGAACAATGGTGACCAAAAGCCTGAAGCATTGGGTGTGGAGTCAACAAAGTCAACTGCATGCTGCACACCATATAAATGATTGGGCATGAAGAAGTACGAGCCCAGCACAGACCCAGGGAATGAAATCGCACTGATTGGGCCTTAGTTCAATCCCATTTCAACCTCTAAAGGGATATATATCTAAATCTGTGGGATTCTCTGGGAATGTCTAGTCTAGTTTCTCCTTGGACCCCAATGCGTTTGAAGGAAACAGGACAGAGTAAAACAGGGCCCCAGAGTCCCGCCGCTCAGGGATGCAGTCGGCGCCTGCCCGAGCTCGTCCTTGCTTAACTTCAAGAGATCCACTGGTCTGCAAAGGGTGTCAGCTGGCTGTTGGGATATGTTGGAATCACGACTTTCCTAGGCAATGATTCGAGTTCATTAACAAGAGGGCCGGAAAGCGGTTTTGAAGCAGTGTTTTGCTCAAAGAGTGCAGTTTTCCTAAAAATGGGTGCATGCCGCAAAGTAACCGCTGCGTGCGAGCTTCTCGACTCAAGCAGGCAATTGGCGTGATTGAACATCTCTGAATGAATGGTTACAGAAACATTTGATCATTTGTATACGCAAACACGTCGGAGTCAATAGCCCATTTCTACAACTTGTTTATACTTGAGAGAGGAGGGGGTGAACGAAAGGTAGCAGGCAATCACAAGTAACCCTGGTAGAAGTCCATGACGGCGTGAACCGGCGCAGGGGGGGTTTGATCCAGGGGGGGCCCGCCCCGACGAACAGAATCATCTCTTACAGGACCAAACTCAATGCACAATCCCAACTCCTGATTGTAATACATGTTTGCTAAAGCAAGGAGAACTCAGGTAGCTCAAGCTACCTTTCGTGATTAAAGATCTGCACGAACACTAAACTAAACAAAGAGGCAGCTAAGAGGCGCTATGAGTTGTTGTGAGCATCTGCAGGCAAAGTTTCTGGTGCCTGTTGGCTTGCACCAAGTATGGATTCGAGAAGGGCAGAACTGTTACAGGCCTCAAAAGGCACACGCTTCATGCCGCTTCAGCAAACCTCCTTGAGTGAAAGCATGCCACTGAAAAAGCATTTGTGCAATTGCCCAAATGATCCCTAACATGTGATGTATGTAGGGACCAGATTGAATATCTTCGTTGGACATGTGTCATATTTGCATTATGGGAACGAAGGGATTGAAGAACACCCTGCAGTTTCTGTGTCAATGCCCCCAAACCACCCCAAACTTGGGTAAGGTGGTCCTCTCAATAGAAGCTGACACCAACCTACCTTGGATTCCGACGCCATACTACTGGCTTTGTTCAGAAGGTCCTCAGCCAAAGACCTGAGTCGAAGATGTTCCACCGACATTGACATTCATTTCACTTGTCAGATTGACTTGTCTCACAGCAAAGAGGGGAAGCAACCTGCACTGCGAGAGTAGGAAACATTTCAGCCCGTGTCTGACAGCAAGGGCATGACACTTGTGAATGCTCTCTCAAAAAGCATTTGTTCTGTCAGTGTAGGAGGCAAATTGCATCAAATTGCCACAGGCTTTCCTGCAAATACAAATGTACTCGGCGCAATAAAGCTTCTGAATCACCTTCCTAAGTCCCCAGCAACTCATCGAGGTCCAATTTCGACAGGCGCTCCGAACTGTGGCAAGCAAGCAGGAGCAAGGACACATTTTGGCCTGGTTGGCCTGTCTTTTCCTCAAAGGCTCTGGAAATGAAACCCCCTTGTGTTACAGTCTTGGATGTCTCTTGAGTGACTAAGTGACGCACAAACACTCAAGCAATCTTGATGGTTTGCTCTCTTCTGAAGTTTAACAACTTTCCAGAAAATCAGCCAATCTTTCCAAGTCGTGGATAATTTCTGTTGGTCTGCCGCCTCCCCACATCCACCCGTAGCCCAATTTTGGGCCTAAATGCACTGGGATCCGCTTCGAAGGAGGTCTTTCCCTTGGAATTCTCCGGGAAGAACGGAGAACAAACCAGCATGGATCCCTTCAAAAAATCCTGCTGTTGGTGGAAATTAATGCTCAATGCGGATAGAAACAATTCATGGGCAACAAGCACCGGTGACCCTCTTGCTGAAGCCAGGGTTTACTAGGTCCCTATTTTCGGAGCAAACAAATTTGGCTTTCAGCACTTTGAACGAAGCATGAAATTCAAGCATGTTCCAACCATTGCTCCAAGCTGTATACTAATGCAGTGGGCATGGTAATATGTATGGCCAGACTTTAGGATTGGAAAGGTTGAAAGGACATGAAGTTTCCAGGAAATGGATGTATTTCAACATGGCGAGGTTGCAGGCAGGTGCCAAGAATCTGTGGCTTCCATGGCCTGGTTTGCAATGGACTACTTGCCATGGCCTGGTGGCAGTTCCCATACTTTGCCAGGGCCATGTGAGCGGTGGTCGAAACCCTTTAGTCTTGGCCTTATAATCCTTCTCTGCGTACGCGTCGGCTTCCGCAGTGCTTACGCTACCAATGTGTTCGCTTACGTGGTGATGTTGTTTCTCTTAGGGCTTACGCGTTTCTTACGCGGCGGCTTTGTTACCGGCGTTTTGGCACCAGAGCAGTGAACACTCTTTGTTCCCAACCTGTCAGGTGAGGGTGGTCACAGTAGATTTTAGAAGATGATCCCTCTCCTTCTCCTATTCCCCGCTTCACTAGAGCAAGCGCCAGATCACAGTGGGGAATGCCGGACCCCAACAGCATGCGCCAAATAGCGGTGGGCACTCCCGGACCTCAACCGCAAGCTCCAGATCGCAGTGGGCACTCCCGGCTTCTGAGGAAGGGGATCTCTCGAAGTAAAGTAATTTACATTTTGCTTGCATGATTTGGTGGAGCCCGCCTTTTTGTCAGCCATGGGGACCAAGCAGTTGGAGCGAGGGTCACAGTGCGCTTTGTGCTTGAAAAGTGCTCAGCTGCTTGCTTTGGTTTCTTCAGAAAAAACCTTTGGTGGACGTGAGCAAAGGGCTTCATGTGAGAAGTTCGCCTACGCAAACCTTACGAATCGGCTTACGAGGGGCTTACGCGGAATTCGTGTGGTCGTGGGCTACTCGACCCCTGCAAACAGGGCCTTTGAGAGATTGAGTCCACAACCCTTTTCTGCTTGCAGTGTTTCTCAGAAAAAAATATACAAAGTATATTGGCTGTGTATAACTAGAAGACTCAAAATTGCTTACGCACCTCTTACGCATCGAGTGTCCTAAGCTTGGCTTCCACTAAACCTTCCGCAACCCTTACGCCGTGCAGACTTTATCATACGCGACAGTCTTGCAGTTTAATTGGATCATGTGGTTCTTGCATTCAGGTTTTGAACGCTGCTCATGTGGTTGTTCTGGGAGTCTAGCTGAAAGACATGGGCATCACACCCGCACATGGAGGTGATGAGCAAGCCCCATGAACACTCACAAAGACCCATCAGCAGGATTGGAGTGTGTATAGTCATGTAGCCATCATGTACTTATGTTAGGTACAAAGATTTGTTATGTGATCGCCATGTCTTGAATGATGCTCACGAACGCCACTGCGTCTACTCTCGGACTCCTTTTTCTCGTCGCAGAACGAGAGATCTTTGGGCTCAGGAAGCCACTATGCCATGTTGACCCGGGTTGGGGTACACATCCTCAATGTTGCATGATGTTGGTGAGTGGCCGGCGTTGAATCCCGGTAAGAAAGAACTGCTTACTTTCATCCACGAGAGTGGTGTGGATTTGTGTCTTTGTCAGTTCATTTGATCAAATCCGGGCTCCCCTTCTGCACTTCATCAAAGCAGGGAGTTCACCAGTCCCAAGTCTTTCCCTGTTCCTCTTTGAGGGTTTACCATGGTGAACCATTCAATAGCTTTGGAGGCCCAAGTCCTTGTTTGTTATCCATATTAACAAGAAAAAAGACCGTCAAAGTCCCAAGACCCGGAGTCACAAGGTTTTGACAGGCTTCTAGTCATGAATCTTCTGTGCACCTGGACGTGCGGCTTGCCTGCATGACCCGCAGCTCTCAAAGCTCACTGTCTTCCTGAGTTGGCGGAGCAATCGACTAGCTGAGGTCTTTTGCCGTATTGTTTGAATATGTTTGAATCATTGGCAGGTGATCTAGTTGTTTGGCTTTTGGAGGGACCGCGAATAGTGGAGCCAGCATTTCAGAAAAAAAAAGGCATCTGAAACACTTGGAGAGTACCTGCACCTCTCCTGTCGTCCTAAATGTTGCCGCCTGAGGATGAAAAACTACATGTTCAATCATAATTTATGCATTCACATCAAAACCTGACCCTTCTATATACGAAGTTACATCGCAGGTGAGTGGATCAAGCAGGCTCTACATTTGCATCAGGTGGCAACTTTCTCCTCCTGAGCTACGCAGTGGATCATCTCTTTGCCTGACGCTCGAAACAGGGAGACAACCAGCATTGATGGGGTCATCTGAGGAGTGTTGTAGTATGTGCGGTGTCTAAGGTCTGATCCTTGACACACAGTCCCAACGTCAAAATTGCATTGCAGAACTTGGAAAGTCCGAACATCCTCATTCTCATGCTGGGTCCTGTTACGTTCTCATGCTTATCTCATATCTCACACCTGCAGGATAGGCCAGCTATATTTGACTGCCCTTGTTGTCTTTATCTTGCTTTGCACTCCACATGAAGTCAGGAAGGTTACTCCCGCAGCCAGCGAATGGGAGAAGATTATTGTGGGTCAAACCTTAGTCGAACAAAACACATTTAGGCCATAGATTTGGCCGCACTCTTCGGTATGCGTGGCCTCGTGGCAGTCTTGGCACCAGTCGGTGGTGACCACAAAGAAGTGTGGTTTGAACCAGCACCTGACCACATGACCAATGGGTGCATGCAATCACACATTTTCGATCGATCACATCGACCCTACGGACCCTATCAACCCTATGGTGCCCCTAGTAGCGTCCTTGCTCCTAGTAGCGATGCCCTTTTTTGTTACTGCTAGCTTCTAGCTACTAGTAGTAACAGTAATAACGATGCACTTGTTACTGGCTTAGGGAAAACTGAAAACTATGGGGAAAGTTTGCTCTCCCCAGTGAAACGATGGGTACTGTTGGCATGCCGAGCCAACGAAACAAAGGAGAGTCGACAGCGGTCTCTTGAAAGAGCAAACCCTTCCTTCCTTCGGCCGCATCATGGATGAGTACATCCCTCGAACACATGGTGGTTGATCAAAATTCCCTCTTGCTGAAAGGCCATTCCTCGCCAAAACAAATTACTTTCGCGAACTCCATGTTTAACTTTCGCGGGGGGTATACCCTCTAGAAATCTTATTGGTTTAGTGGTTCTGCATGGCAGCCTGAGCACTTATCTGTTTGTTCTGTTTGTTTTGGACGAGCACGCTATCAACTGTTGTTATGCTGATGTCTTGCTAGGTCTTTCGGTGCTTGGCTTGGGCACGGGTCCACAAAACAGGCCTTCACATTCGCCTATGCTTTCGCGGAACTTTCGCGAATCTTTCGCCAAGAATGTCGCGTCATTGGTGGGTTTCTAGGCCCAAAGCGAAACGACAAAAGGACTACTATACAGCCGAGGGTTTGTGCATCGCAAGTGTGAGCGTAAAGACTGCATAGAAAGTCAGGAATCAAGGCTCCTCCTGAGTGAAGGAAGTATGAGGTATATAGTTCTAACATAGAGCATAGTAGGATCTTTCGCAGATCTTTCACAAACAAAAAAGTTACTTTTGCCATCTTTCGCGAACTCGAGAAAAAAAACTTTGTGCGAACAACTTGAAATGGATCTTATCACGGATAAATCCATGGGAGAACTTGCATCTCGAATCAGCTCACCCTTCGCATAACATGAACATGAACCAGGTCGTAGGGTGGACGACCATCAAAATCATCAAGACTCATCTTCATCAGCAAATCGTTGGGTCGATTGTTCCAGCTGGTTTAAGCCATTGAACTGCGTTTGCTGAAGAACATTAAAGGGGTCACAGTATCTGCTCCTGAGATCTCCTGAGTAGGAACGAGTTTCACATAGTTTTACTTAGTTTCACCAATTCAGTGACAGTGACGTAGGAATCGCCATTTCCACCCTTTTCCACTCTTTTCCCAATTTCATCCAGTTTCATCCAGTTTCCACTGTCCGAGTGGCGTTGTACTCACAAAGCGAGCTTTCAGTGAGCCCAGCGATCCGAGTCTCCGGCCTGGAGGCGGAGGTGGACTGAGGGAATACAACAGAAAGGCCGAGAGAATGCGAAGCAAAAAACATCACAAAGGCACAGAGTGTGTGTGTGTGTGTTTTTCAAGGGGGAGTAGGCCGCTAGTAGAGGTAAGTAGCTAATAGCTAGGTAGCTGGTAACTAACAAGTAGCAACTACTTAGGACGCAGGATAGCTCACGCTTGCACAAATGATTTGGTTCCTAGATGTAATCTTCAACCGTATGAAAGCGTTCTTGATTATCTTGAATTGTTCAAGCTCCAAAGCTTTCAGTTTGTCAAATGATATATATATATATATGTATAATTTACCAATCGATACCAATCGAAAATACAAACTCACAACTCAGCCTAAGAATTGACTAGGTACGAATTCTGTGCAATTTGTATCTCATTTGAGCAGCTTCGAAAACCCCTATTACTTTTTTGTATAATCCTGGTTTGCTTTCGCAAAGCTTTCGCGGAGCTTTCGCGGCCTGCATTCTGGCTTTCGCGGAAGGTGTGGTGTTATGTGGGGCTTTCGCGGCGGCTTTCGCGGCGATTCGTTTTCGATTGGGAAATTCGATTGGGATATTGTACAATAAAGTCATTGATCTATAAGTTATCCGATATAAGTGTCCTTAGGGTGGTCAAAACTGAACAAATTTCTTTCCGGCAACATCCTGGCACAAGGAGTTGTAGCAGCACCGTTCAAGTATTATTGTTGTCATCAGAAGAGGAGGAAAACTTGCTGAAACTTTTTGCTGGGGCCAGATACCTTTCCCGGTTATTTTCGACTTT